GTACTGGCATTGGGTAGGCCTATCATCATAACTCACAAGACAAAAAGCAAGTTCACATCAAAGTGGGATGGACCATACGTAATACAAGACGTTTACACCAACGGTGCCTACTTAATCATGGCAGAAGACGGCTTGAAGATCAGCCCCATCAACGGCAGATATTTGGAGCGTTACTACCCCTAAAACAAACGCACCACGCACCTGGCCCACAAGAGCATAAACTGTGTACAGCAAAATCATCATCAAAATCAACATTAAAATCATTGGAAAAAAAAAAAAAAAAAAAACCATCACTTATTTGAACTACGTCATTACTTGATCCCTCCTCAACCAGGGGTACGTAGGCAACTTGAAACTTCAAAACTTCAAGTACAGTCAGATCATCAACAAAAAAACACAAACACTTTGAAGAATAAAGAGGAAATTCAAGAATGCAAACACTTCATTTCTTTAAAGGAAAAAGTCGGCCCCAGAGCCTGATTACAAAAAAAAAAAAAAAACCGAAGACATTACTTGAAAATTATGTCCCTAAAACTACGGAGGCGATCTTCAAGCAAGCCTTCCAAAGTCTTCAAAGTCTCTATCTCGGTGGGAGACAAGATGGGCAATTCCATAGCCATGCCTTTCTCTTGTTCTAGGCGTGAAATCTCCTCTTGGCATTGAGAAAGTATAGCTCCCTGCTCCCCGTGAACACTTTCAAGTCGTGATGCTTTGATGCCCAGCTGTTCTTGCTCTCGCATCAACGTATCTAGATGCACCTGGATGGAAGCTAAAGAAGTTTCTGTGGCTTGATAATCTCCCGAAGCAGCTTGCTAAGAAGACCGGACTTGGGTTAGTGACAAGTTTATTGCGCTCAGTACCACCAAGGTTTGGCCCTCTTAGAGAGATCTCAGAGCTAGCTGGCAAAGGTATTGAATGCATGACGGGCTCTTGCATACCCCTACCTACACACGGTAAACTTGGGAAACTTGGCGGATTTGGAATAAGCTCTGCAGTAGGTGGATCCCTGATCTCCCCGCCTGTAGGTAGGTAGACTCCAAACAACATCTCCGTATAAGAATAAATGCATGTCGTCGCCAAGTCAAAAGAACAAGAAGGCCTAACCTAAAGAACACAAAGAAAGATGCTAGAAACAAAGGCTAAAACAATGAAAGCAGAAGAAGTCACGATTGATGAAGAAAATGCATACATCTTTCTCAAACGACACACTGCCATTGAGTTGAGGAAGCCTAAACACTTCTTTCTTCTTATGACGAAAATTGACATTGCTGTCGACCTGAGCACCTTCAAGTCATCGCTTGTTTAAAACTTGTTGACGCTGCCGCAAAACAAGTCTATCTTCGTGCGAATCAACTTCATCACCAGCCTCTTCAGAGGCATCCAGATGTTGAGAAGACAAGCGTGGGCATTGGGGGACTAAAACCACAGGTCTATCTTGCAAAGTAGCAACACTCGCACAATCAAAAGGTATCAGCTGCGTAAGAACCATAGAACAACCCCCCCTCGATACATCAGCGCGTCAATGAAAAGAATTGGTATCACTTGCCATCCCAAGTTCTCATAACGTACCTTTGACCACCAACTTACGTAAGCACGGGTCACTGGATTACTCTTGAACTCGTCTTTGGCCGGTAGGGTGATAGAAGCATTTGTACATGCACGGGTACAAGACTCATAATGCATATACACGACTTGCAAGGATTCTAATTGGTTTTTTTCCTTCAGCTTGCCTGGCACATTTTGGACAAAACCAAATTGCCTGCTGAAACGGTGAAGACCATACAGCTGAACGATGCATCGGTCTTCTTGCCACAAAGAAACATACCCCGAGCGAAAACTTATAAGGTAAGACAAGTTCGAGAAGCGAAGATGCGAATCATCCATAATGCCTTGCCGCACCGAGCCAACTCTCGCCAAGTGGTCAATCCTCAAGCCTTCACAACTTCTAAGCAGCGTTTGCACCTGGGAATCATCGAGGCTCTTCGAAGAAAGCACGCCAGAATACTTCGTCATCAAAGGCCCCAGGTTGACTGAAATCGATGAAGAATGCCCCAATTTGTCTAAAATTGATGAAGAAAAATGAGTGCCAAAGTACTCACCCAACCAACCATACACATAGTGGTAGGGAAGAACCGTAACATGATCTTCAATGCTTGCCGAGTTTGAAACAACACTCAAGCCGTTATAAATGTTGCCTAAGACCGAGATAGCAAGACGAAAAGATTCACCTGCAGCCATCTTGCTAGCAACTTTTAAAACTCCAGGATGAACAAAGTTGACGTCGCCTGTTGGAAAAACAAACTTACAAAGCCAACAAGCTAAGAAAGCAGCTAGGTAAGATTCTTCCACATGCTCTGATGCTATGCCAAGGTCTTCAAGCGCTCTCAACTCGGCAGGGAGCGGCGCCTAACTGAACCAATAGCACCAGACGGGTATGAGTCTCTCTTTAGCTTAGTGGTCTTGTTGCAACCTTTTTTCTTCAAGGACTTCTTGTACCTTATGTCCTCCTAATACCAAAATTGGATTTATTAAGAAATCTTCACACCTGATTTACCTCGAGCATCCTGGGAAAGCTTGTAATACGCCCAAAACAAATAGGGATAACTCGCAGGCAATCCTCGACTATTGTAGAGAAAAAGTTCCTCTGCACTAAGAACGACCTCGTCATAAAACTTACCTTGGATTGGCAAGCCCCCTTTCCTGTGGAGATCCCAAAGTGAAATTGACATCTTTCCTTGAGCTGTATGAAGCGTGTTAGTCGCTAAACACCAATGCTCAAAGAACGCATGAAGGATGGAAGGATGGAGATCATAACTGAACAAAGATGCGTACACTGCGTGGTAAAGGTTCACGCTAGTAAGCACATGTTTGGATCAGCCCAAGACATCTTCAAGCCACTCCCAATAACACTCAGCAAAAACAGCTTCTCCAATAGTCGACAAGGTATCATTCCAAGCTATAGCTCCGCTTCGGATGTGATCACCAATAAGCTTAAACAAAGCTGGATGATTGTTACGAACATGGTGCGAAGGGTTCAAGATAAGAATCCTCAATGTGCACGCCTCTTCTCCGTATTTGGTCGAACAAAATCTACCACCTCCCAAGATACTTCAGAAGACCACGACTTAATATGCATGGAGTTGTCTTTTACAGGAAAAGCAAGCGCCTTAGGACTAGTCAATGGTGCGTAAAGCTTCAACGTTGTTCCCCTATCTTGCGAATCATCTTCCTTTGTAAGAATGGTGATGGTGTTGCTCTTAAAACACTTGAAAAATACCATGACCGCAACTAAGCAAAATCAACCATAAAACTTGAGCACCACAGCAAAGAGGGCAACCACAGAACGGTCCTTCAAGACATGCTATAGTGGCAAAGAAAACCAAAATGCCACGCAATCGCACTACGCAACCCCGCAACGATTACGCAATCAGTTTCTTGCATCACATGGTGACGTCACCACCAAAGGAAAACTGTGACCAAAAGGCATTACACAGCAAAGCCCCACTGCAGTCTCTTGCATAGCACCACACGGCAGCGCACCACCGAGGGAAAACTGTGATCAAAAGGCACTACACAGCGGAACCCCGTTGTAGTCTTTTGCACAAACACTAAGCAGCAGAAAGCACAGGTACACCTGCAATCCTGCCCACTTCGCCACCAACTACCACATCTCTGGAAGCTTCGTGAGGTCCTGGCACCATGCTTTGTCTTCTGAAAATTAAAGATTCCAAGCATTTAAAAAAAAAAAAAAAAAAAAAAAAAAAAAAAAAAAAAGAAAACCATCAACAACAAAAGAAAAATCCATCAGTGGGGTACATGTGACATCCCACATCGCCCAGAGGAGTGATCTTTATATGTATATTCCCATCCCTACCTAGCACAAGGCCTTTAGGGAGCTCACTGGCGTCAAGTTCTGTTGGAACTCCGAAGTTAAGCGAGTAGGACGTAAGAGCATTCCCAGGATGGGTGACCCATTGGGAAGTTCTCGTGTGCGTTCCCAGAAACAAAACTGTGAGGGTGTGCTAGGGGCCCAAAGCGGACAATATCGTGCTACGGTGAAGTCGGGCCCGGGAAATGGTCCCGCCCGGGTCGGGATGTGACAGTTTGGTATCAGAGCCTTACCCTAGTCGTGGTGTGCCGACGAGGATGTCGGGCCCCTAAGGGGGGTGGATTATGACATCCCACATCGCCCAAGGGAGTAATCCTTATATGTATATTTCCATCCCTACCTAACACGAAGCCTTTTGGGAGCTCATTTGTTTCGGGTTCCGTTGGAACTTCGAAGTTAAGCGAGTAGCGCGAGAGAGCATTCCCAGGATGGGTCACCCATCGGGAAGTTCTCATGTGAGTTCCCAGAAACAAAACCATGAAGGTGTGCTGGGGACCCAAAACGGACAATATCGTGCTACGGTGGAGTCGGGCCCGAGAAGTGGTCCTGCCCTAGTCGAGATGTGACAGTACACACATAATATATAAATATATATAGTCATATTTTATTACATTATATATATATATATGAATATGCATGCGACCCCAGGACGTAAAAGATGTCCTTGGCGTAAAGCAAGAAGCCTCACCGCGTAAAGGCTTCAAAGGTTGAGCACCGAGTTCGCTTCTCCCTTCACTGCAACCTTCATACCTGCATTCGCAGCCACTCTTCTTATCCAGCACCGAGTTCAGCAAGCAGCAGACGTGGTTGTAGTCAGCAGCACACGCAATCGTGATTGCAGCAAAGAAGCAACACACGTAGTCGTGATTGTAGTCAGCAGGAACATAGGATTGCAGGGTAAGGCAGTTGGGATACAAGTCAGCAAGCAATGCAATGACTGTGCAATGGTTGTGCGGTGACGGTTCGATCCTATACATGTACATTATATATATATAGAAGAACCTGTAGAAGTAAAAGAAGTGCATACGGTGCAAATAATGGTTCAGTGACCGAGCAAACAGCAATCTGCATGCAATGAAGAATGGAATAAGGTGATTGTACAAGTAAAAAGATGGTTCACGTGCGAGAAGAATGCGGTGCAGTGAAGATGCCCATCGGGGAACCCAGCAGTGTTAGTCTACCGTACTTGTCATTAGAGCATAGACACACACACAAAAAGAAGGTGCAAGCTACTGTTAGCAAGTCAAGAAGGAAAAGGAAAAGAGGTGGTGGCGACAAAATCATTGAAAAAAAAAAAAGAAAAAAAAAAGAAAAATAAGGGAAGGATGGTACACGGCATCACCTTAGAAAAGTATGATACATATATATATATATAGATATATACACACACTCACACACTCACACACACACACACATACACACACTCACACACACACACGTACACACACTCACACACTCACGTACGCACACACACACGTACACGTACACACACACACACTCACACGTGCACGTACACACACACACACACGTACACACACTCACACACACACGTACACACACACACACGTACACACACACACACACACACGCACACATATATATCATTTAAAAATAAAATAAAAAATAAAAATAAAAAAAAGGAAGGAGCACATCTTAATATGTTTTGTTTGTACTTAACACAATACGCTGAATGAAATAAAGCATGTCTATTGATATCTCCGAGAAATTACAAATGCGTACAAAAAAAAAAAAAGAAAAAGAAAGAAAAAAAGAGGGAGCCTTCACAAAGGTTGCTCACATGAAGCCCCACTACTTGGCGAAACCCCAGGAGTGGGAGGCATTGAAGATAGATTATTCGAAGCCTCAATACTTGGTTGAACGCTAGATGACGAAGGCAAAAGGTGCCTTTGGAAGAAAGCCACAAACCTCTGATGGTCACTTTGAGGCTTGGTTTGGTACTGAGGTGATTCTGAAAAAAGCTGGTATAAAAAAAAGCTGGAAGCTATTTTTGTGTTTGTTAAACATTCAGCTTCAGCTTTTTTTCACAATTTTGGGTGAAAAAAAGCCAAAAACAAGAAGCTGCAAAACTCAGCTTTGAAAAACCGACTTTTTTTCACATCTGTTTTACATAAAAGTTTACCAAACACTATAATACTGTTTTTTTTTTTTTTCAAAAGCACTTTTACAAAAAAGTTTACCAAACACTCTACTGCTTTATTTCACAGCTGCTTATTCTCACAGCACTGCAGAAACAGTTTTTTTTCAAAGCACAGCAATACCAAACCAGCCCTAAGGCTGTTCTAAAAAAGTTGCTCTCCCAAGTGAACACCTCCATCACTACCGAATGCAATTATAAAAAGCCAATATCTTCTCATTGGAAGTGCTTAATCAAAAGTTGGGTTATCTTTTGAAATGTGGACAGAATCCATGTGGTTATGGTCCTTCATCACACCGTGAACGCATAAAAGGCACTTTTGGCCACTTCCGCTTCCACTTCCACTTCCACTTGGGGCACGTTTTTAGTATTATTATGCATTTTGTGTTACGGCTGATCATTACAAAATCTTTTACTCATTGGTTGTTGAAGATCATACACTTCACGGGGTAGGTATCTGCTATTCTGATAGGATATCAATTGTTTTGATCTTTTAACTAATTAGAATTTTCACTGATAGATTGTAAAGTGTCCTAAAATAGCCGGTTCTTTTTTTTTTTTAAATAACGCTTATATCGATAGAGTTAATAATATTGGTAAATAATACGTCAACAGTAAATATATCCACGCGTTGTAGACACAATAATATCAAGACAAAAATTAACATTATGGATACCAAATACGTCATGCATAGATTAATTCTGCAAGTGCAATTGGTGGGTTGTTGATCACAAACGATATTTGGTAGCAGGTGTTTGGTTTAATTTGCACTCCTTAATTTCTACCACAATGATGCCCGACAAGATTTCTGGTTTAATTATAATTTTAGTCTAATATTTCATCGAGTATTAAGCTTAAGCCAAATGGATTGCACGACATGGTTATAATTAAGTTAATTTGAGTGATGATTCAGGTTTGAACTGGGATTGGAAAAGCCAGATCCAAGGAGAGCCTTGCACAGCGCCCTCACCATTGTCGTTGCTTACGTTTTGGGTGGAGCAGTTCCCTTGCTTCCTTACGTCTTCTTTCCGAGGGCCAAGGAAGCTCTGGTTGCGTCAGTTGTCGTGACCTTGCAGGCGTTGCTGATCTTCGGGTACGCCAAGGGCAGCTTCACCGATAACAAACCCTTCCGGAGTGCCTTCCAGACTGCGCTCATCGGAGCCATAGCATCCGCAGCTGCGTTTGGCTTGGCAAAGGCCATCCATCCATGAGCACTCGTCCTATCATATAGTCTGTGTTAAGATTGATTTACCTTTGTGTGTTACGATTCATGTTTTGAAATTCCGATGTTGCTCATTATCTTAACAAACCCTTTCGGTAAAAGCTCATCCTGTGATCGTATATTTACTTTTTCGTCGAAAGCTATTAAGAGTCTTGTACACGAAATTGTCGTACAAATACTTTGAAAAATAAGTGTTCTTACATTTGTATTGAGAAAAATAATGTGGTATTACAAAACTATACCAAGGCTTGGTTTGGTACTGAGATGATTCTGAAAAAAACTGGAAGCTGTTTTTGTGTTTGGTAAACATTCAGCTTCAGTTTTTTTTCACAGTTTTGAATGAAAAAAAAGCCAAAAACAAGAAGCTGCAAAACCCAGCTTTGAAAAACCGGTTTTTTTTCACATCTGTTTTACATAAAAGTTTACCAAACACTATAATACTGCTTTTTTTTTCTTTTCAAAAGCACTTTTACAAAAAAGTTTACCAAACACTCTACTGCTTTATTTCACAGCTGCTTATTCTCACAGCATAGCAGAAGCAACTTTTTTTTTCAAAGCACAACAATACCAAACCTACCCTGAATCTGACCTTCAGATTCTTGCAACTGATCAAGCTTCCTCTTCATGCTCGTCGAATAATTATTTGCAAGCATGTGCAAATCTCTATTCTCGCGCTTAAGCTGTCTGATCTCTTGTCTAAGATTTTCCACCTTGACCGTCAATGATTCAACTTGATGGGTTCGAGCAAGTAGGCGTTGGCCCATGTTGGACACAAAGCCCGCACACTGAACACTGAGAGCTAGGGACTCTTGAACGGCCAACTCATCGGACCGTCTTAAGAGCAGCCTATTATCTCTAGGAGTGAGGAGATTCCTAGCTACTACCGTAGCCGTTTTTGCATCCCTCATCACAGAGTTTTCACCTGTAAGAGGGCCATTAGAAGATAAGAAAGACGGGCACCATATATTACCCTGACGCGGCGCACCTGTATCACCGTTGAGACTCAAATCTAAGCAAATGTTAGATGGGTTAGCCATTTTCAAAGATGTTAAAAGAAAAAGGTTGGATGGAGTAAAATCTCAAAAAAAAAAAAAAAAAAAATACACCAGAGATGATTTTCACGAGCAAGCAATCTTCAAAGTGTGCATGTTGGATGTGATTGATGCGAGAATTATACGCACACAAATTAAACCCTCTTTTTGACAATTGTAGTATAGATATAAGTAGGGATCGTTCTTAACCGGGGATTAGGAGGGATTGCTAAACACTTGGATTTCACTCAAAAACGTAAAAACACAATATAAAACACTCTACTTGACTCAAAGAATGCAAAATTAAAAGTTAAAACACTTAAACAAACCTAAAACCCAAAACAGCAACTAGAAGACTCCAAACTGCCTAAAAACCACTTTCTGGGCAGTTTTGAGCACCTACACTAATTTGGACGAAATTGGATGAAAACTTGAATCAAAATACTTAGAAACACAAATCAAAACACTTTCTAACTAATTTGGACAATACAAAGACTCAAAGGACTCAAAACAAGTTCAAAAGACTCAAAACTGCCTAAAAACACTAACTAGGCAGTTTCTGACCTTAAACACAAATTTGGACGAATTTAAGATTATAGGTGGATTCAAAACACTTTAAAACACAAATTAAACAGATTCTAAACACTATAGAACAAGAAAGTAAAGGGGGGTTTTGTTTTGACGAAAATTGAAATAACAAAACAAAGTAACAAACTAGACAGAATGTAAATATGAAATTGATGAAATGGAATGAATGGATGCTAGCCAAGGGGTTCATCTCCACACATGTTACATTTGCATAATAAAAAGATTTCCGATTGCATTTCAATAAATTATGAAACTCATCACCCCGGGTTAATTAGGTCCGCTTAAATTAACCTTCAAATCTTCCTAACGTTATTGAATTGGATGATTGCATACGACAACCCAAAACATTTCCCACAAGTCCCCTACATGATTGCATAATAGAGATACAAGCAAGAATCATTACGCTCTATGAAAATTATAAGTGTTGACGAGGCATTCGTTACTATGATTGCATGAAACTTATGCCAAGAATTCGTTTAACGCGATTGTTTATAAGCAACCTCCACTACTTGTGAATATAAGTTCGTAACTATTAGGTGAAACTCACTTATATTCTAGCGTCATATTCATGCATGAAAATTAAGCGTGCACTCTCAATAAACATACATAAATAAGTTATCAATCAAACAGTTAAACAAATTGAATCCAGGACTTATGAAATGCAATTAGAAGTAATCAAATCAAAACGCAAGCATAAACATATATTTCGAATCCCCCCTAGCCAAGGGGGGGTTTAGTTCCTCATGATACAAAACAAAGAGAATCAAAGAAACACCTAAACATTCCAACAACTCAAACTTGAATTGTATGAACGTTTAGGCCCTCTTCTCTTCCATTCCTCATTCGTACAAAACAAAGAGTATTGAAATTAAACATTGAAATCAAAGAAACACCTAAACATTCCAACAACTCAAACTTGAATTGTATGAACGTTTAGGCCCTCTTATCTTCCTCTTCGTTGTAGCACAAGGTCTAATGGATAGTTTGATGGTGTGAATGGTTTGGGGAGTGGTGAAAATGGAAGGAGGAGGCCACGGCAATGGGATGATTTCTGGTGTGGTGTTTGGATTATTAGGGAGAGAGCATGGCACAAGGGAATGGTTGGTGTTTGTGACTGAAAAATGAGATGAATTGAATGAATGCAATGCATGGTTTTATAGGGAGAGAAGGGATGGGAGAACATGTGAATGGCAGCTAGGAATGATTAAAGAAGGGAATGCATGTGTAATGACAACTAGATTGGTTGGTGGAAATCTGAAAATGGATGGGAGAGGGAACATGACAGCTAGGTAAAGTGAATGTGGCTGCATGTTTGAATGATTAAATGATGCATGTGGGTTGGAAATGCATGTGCAATGATTCTTTGGTGCTGAAAATGCATGTGTAAGCATGTGTTGGCTGAATTAAAGAATGTGAGGGAATGATGAAAGGGGAAACATGACAGCTAGGTTGAATTATGAAGAGTGAATGCATGTGGCTGATTTATGTGAATGATTATGGGTGATTATGATAAGTGATAAGTGGTGATGATAAGTGTATGATATGTGATTATGATAAGTGATAAGTGGTGATGATAAGTAATGATTTATGATAAGTGATAAGTGGTGATGATAAGTAATGATATGTGATTATGATAAGTGATAAGTGGTGATGATAAGTAATGATATGTGGGAGTGTGGCTGAAATGAAGGAGTGGAATGTTGGAATGTTATGCACGGCTAAGGATATAGGAAAGGTTTAAATGTCCTAAAACTAAAGGGAACAAGGTTCCAACACTTTGGTCTTCAATTAGGTCTTCAATTTCGTCCAACACTTTGGCTCCAAGCATAGGCTATCCATCCTTAGCCCAAAAGTGCTCCAAAAGTCTCCAAAATGCATCTTTTTGCTCCTTTAGCCCTTTGGACCTACAAACACACGAAAATAGCTTAAAGTACTAAAATAACTAAAGAAACATAACGTAAATGCACGAGAACAAGCCATTTAAGTCGCATGAATATGCTCCTATCAGTGATTGATACCTCTATAAAAGGAGAGGCAACACAGCCACCAATTCAAAAAAAAAATTGAAGAGACACCACTCTTCAAATTTTAAAAGCCGGATTTTCCTGCGTAAAGTTCGTCAACGCTTTTCAGACACAACCTAAACCTTCCAACAACCGTCTTAGGGATTTCCAATGCACATGACATGTTACAAATCATCATTCTCACAGATTTTAGTCATCTTCACACTTAAGTACATTCTTAATCATAGTCACCACATACTATTTCACAATTAAGCATTTAAAACCATGTTTTGAATGTAGTAACATGCCTTAGAGAATTTGCTCAATTCCTTACAAGATATGCACTCGATTTTCACTCAGATTTTCTAACTACACACCCTAATCTAGTCATATGTGAGAAGATTAATGAAAACGAACACTCACATATATATATATCACAAAGAGAGCAATTTCCGGAGTTAATAAGCATGTTTAGATATGATCTCATGAATGGAATGCTACTACTTAGATGCGAGAACCAGTGACACCATATGCTCATACCAAATTCAAACTCCACAAATTGAAACACATAACACTCAAGATAGAAGTTAAGGGTTGTAATGGGGCTTGGGGTGTTGGTTAACAAGGAAAGGATAGGGAAAACAAACGTTCTTCAAGCAATAGTGAGCAAAGCAATGAAATTGAGACTTAGAATTCACTTAGATTGCAGAAATTAACTTTAAAACACAAGGGAAAGATTTAGACAACTCCTTAGGGCCGAATTCATTATTTTGGACCCTTACTTCAACAAACAATACTTTGGAACTCTTTTTCTCAACTTTTCAACTTTTTCTTCATTTTTTTTTTCTTTTTCCACGAATTTTTTTTTTTTTTTTTTTTTTTTTCTCGTGCCTATAGCACACAATTCCTCATGAAAAACACTTCCCCCACACTTGTTTTCTGCCAACATAAATCAAAAGGACTTCAATTTGAATCATGCTTTGCTATGCTTCAAGAACAAGGGTATGGATAGTCCTAATCTAGGCTAGGTGAGGAAAACATGAGTTAACAAATAATGACGGCTAACAAGGCTCAATGGGGTTAAAAAACCTACAAAACATAATGACATAGGGCACACGGCTTTTTGGCTAAGGTGGTGGTCACTACACAACTTCATCTTGAATGTGTGTTATGCAAATCAATAACATGCTTTGAATGAAATGGATATAAGTTCTAGCATTTAGTTCTATCATGATACAATTGCATTCTAAGTAGCAACCAAGCAAGGAATAATGAGATCATGCAACAATTTTAGAAAACAAAGAATCACAGAAAATAACTCTCCAAAGAACATTTAGGCTCAAGTCTCACAAGGTTGTAGCGTTTGT